GTATCAAAGACGACTTTTATGACGTGCTCTGCACTGCCATCTCAACACAACGGTAAATATTTCAGTATTAAAAGCTAAGGAGGAGCCAGGGGAAACTATAACATGCAGAATTTTGAAATCAAGTCGTACAGTCGACGTGGGTGCTGAAGCACAGGTTAAATGTCCCCCTTCTCGGCGATGTCAGATGCTCCGTACGCCCAGCAGCCACCGTGGTTAGGAACAGTGTTCAGAAACGAATGTTCTTTGCTATCGGGGATCCCTCTCTACTCTAACTCCTTTTCTTGACTGTACTTCCCAGGCCAGAGGTCGATAAGAAGCATAAGACAGGCACGTAAAAATATGTGGCCTGGTCCAGGCTAGGGAGGGCTCCGTAGAAGCAGGGAATTTCTCTAGGTCTGGTTCTGAACATGTGAATTCAAATCCTAACTGGCCTGGGGCCCTGAGCCAGGGAGCTGACCCACATGGCGCGGCAGACCCCTTCTGGCTCGCCCGCTGCTCCCCTCAGACGTGTATTTCAGCAGATCCGCCTGTTCTGCTCCCCACTCTGTCTCTGGTGAATCCTCTCTCCCCCCGCACCTCTGGCTTGCACCCCAGTTCTATGCAAAAATAAATAAAATCTTTTTTTAAAAAAAAAGGATTCAATCAGATAACACTTCTAAGGACTTAGCATAATATCTGCCAATAGAGAGTTCAGTGTTTGGTGAGTCCAGTGGGTCAAGCAATAAAGGAGGCAGGCCATGCACTGGCTCCTCCTGAGGGGAGACGAAAACATTCTAGCGAACAGCAGGAGGAGGGGACTCTCCTGCCCAGGAGGCCTGCACACATGGGGCCTCTTCAAAGCAGACTGTGAGTTGTTTCCCTTTCACGCCAGTTGGGCTGAGCAACAATTCCTTGACTAGCTTGCTCACTAAACCCCCCCAAGTTTTCCAATAATGTCTTCATCAAATCCTTTGTAATCTGTTAAAATTTTTTAAGCCACAAAGGCCTCCAGAAACTTCCAGTTCTGGATGGTGGTGATAGTGAGGGTGGAAGGGGTGGGGGGAGCTTGCAGGGACACCCAGCAATAGACGAAAGAGGCAAATGGGTGCTGATGGACACTCGACAGCTCTAACTGTGAGGGTTCTGCGTGAAGGCTAAGAGTGTGGCCTCAGGGTCGGAGCGCATTCGAATTCAGACTCCATCACTAAATGGCCCCTGACAGTGGGCAGGTCCCTTAGTGTTTTTGTACCCACTTTCTGCAGCCATATAGTGGGCCATAGCATTGAGCGACTGCTTATGTCGGAAGCGTTCAGAACAACGTGTGTACACGATAATACCATCGAGGCTGTGGTGGGCGTGGCGTGGTCACACACGCTGAGAGGTGAGATCCTGTATTTCTGATTCATATCCAGTGTGGTAAACCAATGTTACCTTAAGAAATGAATCATGTTTACAATCCCTGAATAATAATAATAATCATCAGATAAAGTGTGATGTGCACACTGTAAACCGTCCGTTGTGCCAAAGACTTCACGCCATTTATGAGGTTCACCCTCAGAAGGAGATGGACGGTTAGCCCTGGGCCAGTTGGCTGTAAAATGGGCTTAAAGAAGTGCTTCCCTAGAAGATGGTTGAAAGGATTCAGTGATGGAGCATGTGTCGCTAGAGAAGGGCTGGGCCTGCCCAAATATAGGGCCTCAGAGAGGCTCGACAGCTTGATTAGGTGCAGGCAGCTATTGACTAGCGTTTGAATCTGACCTGGATCCAAGCTCTCACCTGCTCCACAGGGGAAGCTCCCAGCATGCCTGCGGGGCCCCTCCTATCTATCCTGCCTGGGAAGATCAGAAAGGTCTCTGTCCCCGTCTATCTGTCTGTCTCTCTGTCTCTCTCATACAACAGCAGTTGACGCCCATCTGGTTTGCCTTGATGCCATATAATGACTCCATCTACACTGACAAGACATCATGAACTCTGTGGGCCAAGAGGCACAATCACTTATCACAGGCCACGGTGTAGTCACGTGTCACGTGATCACACAAGACTCACCGACCCTGGTCATGGCTAGTCTGACTCAGCCTGCAGCCAAGAGGAAGTCAAATGTGGTTAATTAAGACTGCAGGGAATGTTTAGACTGTGTGCAACCGATACCCAGCCACCGTCTCCATGCTTTCCTGGAGATGCATTCTGCACACCAGTATCACTGGACTTCCTAATTCCTCCCGATATTGTCAGAGAGAGACCGGAGGAAAGGACTTACCGCTCTCAGAATTCTCCCGGTGCCCGCTTAAAGAATGTTGACTGATGAGAGAGGACAAGCAGTGATGCTGAATTACGCTTTCTATTTACGCTTGCATTATAACCTTGAAGTCGAAAGCGCTTCTCTTGCAGGACGAGAATGAGTCTTGTGTCCCCGCGTGGCCTCCGTAGAGCCTGGCGAGTGGCTCTCCCCAGACACCGCCACCAGGAATGGCGGAGCCTGCCATGAAACAGAAAAGGGATGCCATGAACAGAAAGGGTTCTTTCATCTCAGATGAAAGAACCAAGGTCTCCCTGGGCTCTTTGGGGAAAGATCCTGAAATAAAAACGTATGTAGGGAACACAGACAGTTTTCTTTACTAATGATTTGGAAGTAGGGCAGAACCTATGGAGTAAACACTCCCTAAGGTGTTTTGAGCTCTAAATAAAAGACAATTTGCCCTCCTGCTAATTGTTCTTTCAGCTTCAGAAACCACAGCGTTGGCACCAGACACTAAAAGCTACCTGTTCCCAGCTAGAGCTCATTACTGGGCTCCTCCACGAGCGCAGTTCCTACAGAGCCACGCGCCCCATGCAGCTTTGAGGGGGCAGGAGCCCCACAAACTCTTTCAAAGAAATAAGGGTTCTTGTTCTGTAACAGAGTGAGCCTCAGGGAAAGGGGGGTGTCCAGGTTCCCTGCCCCACCCAAGGGAGGATTTGGAAACGATCTTCTCTGTTCTTTTCTCTTTTCTTTATTGCACACCAGCTGTATTCCAGTTCCTTCACAAGACAGGACTCGCACACGACAGTCGCACACCCTGCAGTGTGTTTTGTCTTGATGCGGTGGCCGGCAGGGCTCCTTTAGAGCAGGCAGGTTTGGGGGCCTGAGGTACCCACGATGTGGGGGACATACCTCAGCCAATCTGGAGATATGTTAAAGGTCCAGAAAAGAAACTTACTCAGTTGTGCTTAATGCAGTGATTCCCGAACGTGTTTGACTACCGAGTCATCAAAAATACAGACGGAGCAATAGCCCCTCTCGCTCCCCTGCGCCTGGGCTGGCGGGCGGCGGCGCTGCTGCAGGAGCTGCCTGCTGAGGCCGTGTGGGCACTGCTGGTCGTGCTGGGCTGTGTGGGTCGGGGTGCAGCTCGGGGTGACAGGTCGGCACGACGCGCTTCCCAAGTATCTGTGTGCGTGAGCCGGCGTCTGTGGGGTGTTGTGATTGGGGGGAGACAAGCTCAAGGGCAGAAAGCGAGAAACTGAGAGCACGGGGCGCCGTGGAGGTGGAGACCATGAAAAGCGGCAAACAATGCCTGATTTGTATCTCCCGCCATCTCCGCTCTGCCGTCCTCCCACCCCAGGGGGGACTCTGAACCCTGAGGTGGAGGCCGTTCAAACCCAGAGCTCTCTTGTGAGCAGCTCTGTGAGGCCCCGTCGTAGATGCAGCGGCCAGGTGACAGCACAGGGCTGAGGGGGCTCAGGGCGGCCGTGTCCTCGGGGGACACCTGAACGAGGGGGCTTGACGCAGAGGCCCACGAGGGCCACAGCACGTCACAGCACGCCGTGGCCACCGCCTGCCCTGGGGACCCCCAGACAAGTGGGGAGACGCCAAGGGAAGCCTTGTGGAGTGACAGACATCGGCACAAGACTGGGCAGCTGGTCCCTGCTGAGGATGTCTCTGTCTTGCTTGCAATCCCGGAGACACTGGATTCCTAGGAGACATTCTGATTTCATCTGTAAAGCACACCCGCCCGTTCCTTCCTCTTAGGAAGGGCTAAAATGAGACCAGGTGCCTCGTGCGGCCCGCTGAGAGTCACTCATCGTCTTGATGCCACTGCAGGGGCCACAAATGGCCGCCTCCGCTCCTTCTCTGCAGGAGGCTATGGAGTATTGGGGGGCGGCGTCATTGAGGAGCTGTCGCCGCGGGGCAGGGGATAGAGAAGCAAAAGCAAACACCAAATGGAAAACAATGCTCAAGACACACCGAAAAATCCTGGGGTGATGCCGTGTTGTTGGGGGCCTTGCTTCTAATCAGGACTCCTCAGCCTGAGAGCAGTTAAAAAAGTGGTCAGACAAGTTGCGAACATGGTTGCTCCGCCGAGGGCTGTCTGCGCTCCTCGAAGGGCGGATGTGACAAAAGATAAACGGGGACAGTGGGGTTGTCTGGGTCGGGGAGACAAAAACATGAAGAGCCGATGACGCGCCAGGCATTTGATTAAATCCTGGGTTGAAACTGTCTTAAAGTCCAAAGGACGTTTCTTTTTAAACTTGGAAAACTTAAATACGAAGAGGCATGCTGGGTCGTTCCTGAGGTCACTATTTCCCTACGTACCGTAACTGTATTCTGGCTGAAGAAGATGGTGATGTCCTTATTCTTGGATGATGCCAGACAGAATATTTAACGGGGTGGGGATGTCGACCGTGACATCCACAGATTTTTGGGTGGCGTGAGTGTGAGACAGAGAGAGACAGAGACAGATCAGTTGGTGGGTCTAGATGAAGATTGATGGCCGTTCACTGTATCTGTGTTTTCAGGTTTCCTGTGAGATTAAAGACCTTTGAATTTAAAAAAAAAAAAATACTTTAAAAAAAAAAATCACACAAAAAACCAAAGAGGTGATAGTCCTACCGCAAAACAAAGCAGCTTTCTTTAGCCCAGGTTTTCTGGTTACTTCTGTGGCTCCTGCAGGTAGTTTATATCCTTTCTAAGAAGTAAGAAACTAAAGAAGGATGAGCCCCCCATCCTTCCCTTTAATAAGCATTTCTCTTCTCTCAAATAGCCCCACGAGCCGGGAGCCCGCCTCCTGCACCCATTGAAAGAGCCCTGTCGGCGTCAGACTGAGTTTTTCTGGAACCAAGAGGTTGACCTTGCGAGGAGAGGTAAGAGGCACTTGGAGCTCCGTCCCGGCGTGGGTTTCAAATTCATTATTTCAAAACCAGATGAAGTAAGCGGAGCAGAGATCTAGTCGTCCCAAAGAATTCTGGTGGCAAGGGGTCCCCTCGAGTGACCCCCTTGGGCAAACCCAGTCCTCACGCTGCTAAAATGCCCCCGTTTGGATGGTGACACGTTTGGGCCACGGTGGAGAGTCCCGTAGGCAGGTTGTCCAGAGGAGGAAAGCCAGGGAGAGTTAGGTTCAAGGTCACCAAAGGAAAGGGAAGGAAACAAGGGCACCCCCAAAGGAGGTGAGTTCTGTGGGCACATGATCTAGCTGTACGTGGCGACTGCACTGAAATACAGCTCGGTGAATAGGACACACTTCTCCCTTCTCCGGGCCCCGAGAGTCAGACCTCACCGACATGCCCACTTGGACTCAAGAACAAGGGCTAGTGTTTTTAAAGGGAGTCGGCCCAAGGTGGACAGCGGTAGTGCCCATCGGGAGCGAGTGACCATCAGGGGGAGCGTGACCACGGAGGGCGGCTCTCGTAGAAATGATGAAGCATCCGGAGAAGGAGCAGTTGGAAAACCTCTGAGATTCCTTCCTGCCTGGTCCCATTTCCCACCTCTTCAGTCTCCCCACGACAGCCTGCTAGAAATAAGACCGGTGCCAATGCTGCTGGCCTCTAGAGAGCATGCCCGCTGCCTGGGCGGTGACCTTGGCTGTTTGGAACAGCATGGAATGGACCCATCGAGGCCTGTCACCTAGCACAGCAGGGTGGGAACAGGAGACCAGGGGGCCTCTTGGGGAGCCTTCTAAACCTCAACTTTGGTCTTTGTGTGTCACCCCCTGATCACCAGGTACCCTAGACAGCCTGCTGAAAAGAATTCAGAGGCTCTCAAGCTCCCAGCGGGAAAACCTTGGAGCCTGTTGTTGGAAATAGCTCCCAACCTGCATCTCAGGCAGGTATTTTTAGGTTCTGTCTTGAAGACACAGAAACTTTCATACATTTCAGCTTCTTTGTCTGGAGTCACTGCAACCCCAGACATGTCATTGAAATGGGGTATAATTGTGGTCTCCTCCACCCACCAATCTGAGCGAGTCTAAAAGAGCTTCCTGCTGTGCAGCAGAGAGCATGGAGAGCCTTTTCTGGCAAGGGAAAGTCAAAATGGATTTTTAAAAATAATAATATGTTGATCAAGAAGAGGGAAAAAAAATCCATTGAGGAGAGGGGCCTGCACTGGGACTGATATGGAGAAGAAAGTCACCTATTATTCCGAAACCTGGTCTTAGCTCTCTTTTGCAAGCTGCAGATTTCAAGCTTGGAGGAGCTAAAATCTCACATTTGAGGTTAGGAAATCAGGATGCTTAGAAGCATTGAGTCAGATCAATGGCTGTTATTAATATGAGGCTCTCTGAGGAATAATTATAACTGTCGATCACAGGGCACAGCCTGACATTAAAAGGAGCAATAGCAGAGAAACCAAAATGATGCCAGGGAGTGTTGGCGAGGGAGTTCAGAGGCGCTGGAGAAGGATGTTTGAGTTCCCCAAGGTTTTGGCAACCATCTCACCACGGGGCTGGAGGATAAAGGTGACCGGGGCTGACGTTCTGCCCACAGGGCAAGCCATCCCTTTGTCTGGGAGGCCGTTAGGTGACCTTGGCAAGTCGCCGTAGTCAAATCACCCGCAGTAGTCTCTGACTCCAGCTGGTCTTGACCTCGGGCGGCAGAGAATGGATGATGGTGAAGAAGGCAGGTGGGCCTTTTTCGTGAGCGCCAAATAATAAAGCATTTGCTCACGAGGTCCAGAAAGGAGCCCCCCAGTCGTCGATTTCCTAAGCTTCCCTTGAAACAGCCTACTCGAGGCTCACTCAGCAAGCAGAGGACACACGGGAGGTGTCCCTGGGCAGCCCCGCAGCCCCGAGGGCCCAAGTCCAGGACAGGCTCTGTGGTCTGCAGAGCCTGGTGCCAAAGCAAAGTGTACAACCCCGTTCAGAGGGGTGAGGATCGCATGGCACAGCCGCATTCTTGGAACCGTGGGAGACCCCCAGTGGGGTCCTGGCACCTGCCCAGCTCTCTGCCCAGGGGCCGCTCTGATCGGAGAGCACAGCCCTGCCTGCTGGCCTTGGTCAGGGGCGCCAGGACACGCAGGGCAAATTCAAGCCACTAAGAGACTCTCCAGAGGTTACTGGGCTAACTGGTGAGGAAGAGTCAAGGTGGGCTTTTAAATAATAGCAAGAAGAGACAAACATCTGTTGAAGGGGAGGGCTCTGAATCGGGGCACGAAAGTCCAGTGACGCTTCTGGAAGGATGTTAACTCCAAGGGTCAACGTTCAATACGGGGCATTTAATCCAGACATCACCTGATGGTAATCAAGCCTCTTTCTCTCTCTCTCTCTCTCTCTCTCTCTCTCTCTCTCTCTCTCTCATACTCACACACACACACACACACACACACACACACACACACATGCACACACACACACACCCCCTAACATTTGCCAGCATTTACTGACATCGTAACTATGCAATAAGTTCATCACTAAAAACTTGTACTTGATCTCCCTAAGAACCCCAGAAAGAAGGGAGCCTCATGACCCCGGTTTTGAAGACGAGGGGCTGAGGCTCCGTGGGGCTGGGTCTCTGCCCCAAAGAGCTACTGCTCATGAGCGACCAGAGTCTGAATCCTGAGTTCTGACCTGGGTTCTCAACAGCGAGGCCACCGTCCCATGTCCGCCTCGGCCCCTAACACTCGTGGGCAAGCAGAGTCTAGCTCGGCCCGGGCTAACTGCACGAAGCTTGGAGAGGAGGGCCCAGCCCCACACACGGGCGAACTCCCACGGCCCCCCCACCCCCGTCTGAGGACCCCAAGCTGGCAGGGCCCCCGGAGACCGCATGACCCACACCCACACCGGGTGGGGTGGCGCAGAGCCAGGCAGACAGGCCCGAGAATCAAATTGCAAAGCCTGGGGGAAGAGACCACCACACAAATACCTGTAAAATCTCGGGGGTTCAAACTGTGTTTTGTGACAGCCAGAATTTAAAAACACAAGCTCAGGCCCAGCAGGCTGTGAAAGTTCCGAGCTGAGCAGAGACGTGGTTTCACGCTCCCTCTTCATAAAACGCAGAAAGCCGAGAGCAAAGTTCGTGAAGGTGCCGCATCGTCGTGGAGAAAACTTTCCTCCTGCTGGAAGGAGACGCGACAGGGCCGTCGTGGGAGAGAGCAGAGAAGGGGAACACTTTCGACGCTGGTTGGCAAAGACCCCCCACCCCAGCCCGGGGTCCAGCAGCAGATCTTTCGTGAAAAGAGATGCTCTGTGCTTGCCGTCGCGGGGCGGAATCCGTGACAAGTGGACTCGCGGGACATCGCAAGGGCCCGCGGGGTGGTGGGGTGCGCCCCGACATGGCGAGGGGGTCGTCCCTGTGGGTCATTCACACATCCATCCCCCCGCACCTGCCTTTCTTTTCGCGGCCAGAACACCTGCGCGCTGCTCCCCGAGCGGGTGGCCCGTCTGCCGCGCGGTGTCAGCAGCTCCCGCCGGTGGGTCACGCGGGAGGACCCCAGACTTTGTTCTTCTTGTAACTGGAAAAATCTTCCTCTCTTGCCTTCCTCGCAAGCCTTTCCGTGGCCTCTCCTCCCCTGCCTCTGGCAGTCACTTTATCATGTTTCTACTCTCTGTTCCCCTGAGTTCAACTTCTTTTTTTTTTCGATTTGAAAGGCAATGCTTTATCAATAATTAATAAGCAACTCAGTATTTCCACGGGGGCCGGCCGGGGCCGGAGAGGCAAGTTTGGAATCGGAGGCAGAGGAGCCGGTGGTGAGTGGATGCTCGCAGCGACTCCCTTAGCCCCCCTTTTCCTGGAATTTCTTTTTACTTTGGATATTTCTGTGGAGGGGCTGCTACGGGCAGGAATTCCTGCCGTTTTCATCTTTGCACCCTGCCACCAAGAGGTCCCCATAAGTCGAACTGGCCACGGTGGGGTCCAGGGGAGAACGAGCCTATTCGGATCCAACTGAACATTTATATGCCTTGAAATTTGCTCTCAATGCATTTTGACTTCTACCTGCGAGCTGCAAAGAGCTATTTGAGATTTTAATGGCTGTTACTGTCATTTAATACAACATTACACACATGTGGAATATTTTTAAAGAAATCTCGGCTGTGTGGTGTATATATTCTCCCTACACGTTCCAGTTGTCCCAGCTGTAGAAAAGCAACTTATGTGTGGGCTAACCCGCAAGACCGGCTCCCTGATAGTAACTTCTGACATATCAGCGTGGTTTTTTTTTTGAGGTCATAACCATTCTTTGCCATATATGCTTTTTGATGACCCCCCAAAACAAAATACAATCATTTTTTACAATGATTTATTTTTATTTATGCATGCATGCAAGAGCGGGGGTGCAGGCCAGAGGTGCTGGGGGTAAGAGGACTCACCAGAGACAGAGTGGAGACCAGAACAGGTGGATCTACTGAAACACACTGCTGAGGGGAGCAGCGGGGAGACAGGAGAGGTCTGCTGTGCCATGTGGGTAGCTCCCTGGCCGTGATTGAACTCATGCTGCAGTGGCTGGGGATAGCTTGATAGTGCTGAGACTTTAACCCCTGCGCCACCAGAGAGGACCCAAAAAATACAGTCATTAAGAGCAAATGTTAACATTTTTAATTTTAGGCCATAGGACACATAAAAAAAAAATGTTGAGATGTGCAGCTAAGGCAGAGGTGAGCCTCGATCATGATGCTTATTCTCCTTCTCCCCAATAAAGCTACTGACTTCATCGAAGCCACGTATTTGTATTAAGCATCTGTTGCCGAGAGCACAGACCCCTGCCCCCCGAGGTGGTGGGTCTCTGCCGTGTCTCAGCACTTGACCTCAGTGATTCCAATGAGGTCCGGCTTTCCCACCTGTCAAACACTTGCCGCAATGAAAATAGCTGGTGTGAATCAGAAAGGGGACCTCAGGAGATGCCGGTTGCTCCCCATCACGCACCGTGTCCCCCGACAAGGGACGGCTGGATCCTCCCGAGCCTTATTTTCCAGCTCAAGTTGGGGAGGAGCAGGAAATGGGGAGCATGGAGAAAGGGCAGCCCAGCGTGCAGGGCTAAATGTCAGGTTGTACCGGAGAGTTATAATTAAAGTCCAAGATGACAGATAACTATAAAATCAGATTGGTTCCTTTCCACATGGAAGGAAAACATCCCATTGTCGCCCAACCCAAGCTTTTTTGTAAATTGAAATTACAGTTTTATTTGGAGCTATTTTTAAAGGTCCGTTAATTAAAAATTGGAAGCCAGGCCAATGCAAGAAATACCATAAAAGGTGTTCGATTTAATAATCACCGAGGACTATAATTAAAAGATGATGTTATCTGAATAGCAAACGCTTCAAATCCATGTTTGTTTTTTTTATCGAAAATAAACAAATTCAGGAGCAAAAAAAAAAAGAAAACAGAAAAGATATGTGCAAAATGTAATGATAATGGTTGACTCCTAAACAGCCAAGGAAATTGCAGTCATCGTGTGTGGGAAAAGAACAAACACCTCTTAATTGCATTTCATTATAACGTACCTTTCTCTGCTCAGTTGTATATATTAATTATAAAAATCGTGTTGCAGAGAGGAGAGGCTCTACAATAGTTTTTTTCCTCTTCCTCCCTTAATTCTGTCTGAAGCAGGATGGGAGAACAATATCATCTGTCATCTGTCGAAAGAGCTTTCAAAGACAAAATCATAAAAAGAATGAAAGGCTATTATATAAAAAAGAAAAAAAATGCTTTGATTTCACAGGTTTTTCACTTATTAATGTTTAAGGTTATCTGTTCTTTTAGAAAAGTAGCTTCTCATATTGTTTTGTATGTGTATGTTCAAGTAACATCACTTTCTGATAACCGTATCACATGGCATCTGCGTTACGTGGATAATTGTTAATGGAAGGGGGAGTGGGTGGGAGCGAGCATTATTATGGAAAGATGCCATGCAGGACTGGAAGAATTTTCTAAGATGAGGAAAAAGGAGAAAGTGATGGGTTGGATTCGAGGCCAGGGCTTTGCTATAAAAATAACCAGCGACTGTTATCTCTCGAAAGGGCAGCGCTTGCAGAACCCTAAAAACGACTCCCTGGAGGTGTCACCGGGCATTCAGAGAGCGGGTGTTTTGAGATGAAAAGGGGTCAGCCAAAATGGCATTCAGAGTCTTGCTGCATCACGAATCTGCTGAAACAGGTGAGATCCATTTGCTTGGCAAGGGTTAAGGTGATTCTAGGGAGAGGTAGGAATCTTAGCCTGGGCTTCTTGGAGATGTATATGCAGAATTGCAGTTTTGGGGGCAGAGGTCCATAACTGACCACGTTCTGGCTAAGCCTGTCATCCAGAAAGGCTGCAGAGCCGATGCATTAGGCCCTCGGTACTCAATGTGTGGTCCGTGGACCGGCGCCTTGGAATCACCTGGAAACTTCTTGGAAATGCAGGCTCTCGAGTCCCATCTCAGACCTGCAGAGTCAGAAGCTGCGTCTAGGCAAGAGCCCCAGCGCAGTTTCCCCACCCAAGGCTGTGGATCACACGGGCTCAGGTCCAGTCCTGGACCGCTGTGATCTTAACCCCCTAAGGAGGTGGCAACAAGATCCCCAGCGAATGTTCTGAAAATTAAATGAGATCATGCGTGCGCGTCGTTTAACACAATGCCTAGCACAACTGAATCACTTGGCAGTGCTTATATCCTGCATTTTTATCAGACTGGAAATTACCCATGACATCAGGAACGTTATGGCCGATGGGCCTTAAAGCAAGGGTCTCACCCCAGGGCATTTTGCTCCCCCAGGGACAACTGGCAGTCTCTGGGCACATTTTCATTGTCAGACCAGGAGGCGGACGATATTGGCACGGGGTTAGACCACGGATGCCCTAAACATCCTATAGGGAATAGGGCACCCCACACACGCATAAAGGGGTTACCTGGTGCAAAAATCTCAGTCTTGAGGCTGAACGGGCTGGTCTAAAAATAAGGGCCTGAGACTTGGTCAGGCCTCAGGGGAGCTCCGGGGTTCTCGGAGTACTTGAGAGGTTACTTTTCACTTTAGCTTTGAAACTGAAAGAACAGAACAACATTGCCACCTTCGAACACACCGGGAATCTGAGTAAGGTTCCTCCAGGCATTTCACCCTGTGAAGAAGGCAAGCAGAACGGACCAGCCTGTTAGAAGTTGGGTGCCCTCTCCTCCTGTCCTGCCCTCACACATTTGGGGTTCCCTCTGTGCTCTGTAGGTACCGCTCACTTATTCTCTGGTCCTGCGCTGGCTTCGCAGGCCATCTTGCCGGGAGATCTTCCACCTGCCTGGGTCCCGGATGCGAGGTCCAGGCCTGCGCAGAGGGGAACTGCAGAGGGCTTTGCTCCGGGGCATGTTCAACCCAGCTGTGCCCGTAGGTCACAGTGAAATGCCCCAGGTTCTCCTTGTCCCGTGGAGCTTTCCAAAGAACCAAGACAAAACTAGAATAAAATCTTGATTTGGAGGTTATTTTGCACATGCCTAAGGATTCCCAGCAACAATGACATGAAAGAGCATCACTCCCAGGGCGCTGCGGCCGGGACAGCAGGTGTCCGGGCCTTGGGTTCTGGAGAGTGAGCGGAAGAGAGCGGGTTCTGGGCCCACATTAAAGTCATGACTGACCTACCACGGAGTTTTAGCCAGTCACCAGGGTGGAAGCCTCGGTGTCCTCACCTTTAAAACGGGACTCATCATCAGAATGACCTCTGGTGGTTTTCTGACAGTGAAAGGAGCCCACACAATAGGTCAGCAAATACTAATTGCAGACCTACTATGTGTCAAGCACTGTGCTGAGTGCTAATGCATGTAAACGGCTTGGCAGTGCCTGGCAGGTCGGTAGCCCCCGTTTGGATGTGCCCGGGAGACTCTCCCAGACACCCCTAACTTAGGGAGCACCCAGCAAGGATTCCGTCCTCTGCGGCTCCCTGGCACCCCTGGGGCAAAAGCAGCAAGGACTTGAGCATCAGGCCGTCCACAGACACACCAGACAATGGCTTAAAGCAGCCTGTCGGCAAATTAAAGTGTCCTTTGCCCACTCTTAAACTTAGCTAGGGAGGACAGCGTTGGCTGGGCCATCAGTGACTCCCTAAGTCAGAAAGTGTTTGGGAAAGAGATCGCGCTCTGATGGCTACATTGTTTTAGCAAAGTGACCAACCTAGATATCCAGGGGGAATAGAAGATGGCGTAGGAAATCTTGAAAATCAATGTGATGAAACTCATTTTTAGCATAATTTAAATTACAGAAATCTCTGGACGATATTTTTTTAAAAAAGTGTATGTACCATGCCTATGTGAAAATCGAGCTCTTTGTTCAAATTGTCCAAAATACAAGCAATGAGTAGAACTATATTAGCATGGTTGAGTATACACTCTTATTTTTGATCCAGAATCTCCTTAATGATGCTAAAACTCCCTTCTGGTTCTAAAAAAAAAAAAAAAAATCTATAATAATAATTAAGTACTTCAGTGCTAGATTAATGACTAAAAATTTTCCTATTTTGGAAAAAAAAAAAAAACTCCCAGAAAGGTCCCAGAAGAGGGGAAATAAATAAAAACACATTGGAAAAATTAAATATGGCCAGCGGGTAAACTGTAATTACCTAGCGCCTAACAGTTTGAAACAGAATGTTATGCAGATGGTCATTTGCATGCTTAACTATAGAGAAAAGAAGCAGGTACTTCATCTGGGAGGCAAAAAAGGAAACGGCTGTATTTGGAAAGCAGAGATTCACTGGGGAAGCTTTCCTTTCTCCTCAAACTCGAGTGCTCTGGGTCCAGCCAGACCCACTAAGGCAAACTAACAGTCAGATAGGGATGCCAGGGCCCGAGGGGGCTGTCTCCACGCCCCGGCTCCACCCCTTCCTCACTGTTAGCCTTTGGGCAAGTGGCTAAACTTGTCTTTTTAAATTTTTTTTTATTTATGCATGCATGCAAGAGCTGGGGTGCAGGCCAGAGGTGTGGGGTGAGAGGACTCACCAGAGACAGAGTGGGGAGCAGAACAGGAGGATCTACTGAAATCCACTGCTAAGGGGAGCAGCGGGGAGACAGGAGAGGTCTGCTGCGCCATGTGGGTTGCTCCCTGGCCGGGGATCCAACTTATGCCACAGTTGCTGGTGATAGCTTGATCCCGCTGAGACTTAACGCCTGTGCCACCGAGGAGGTCTGGGGCTAAACTTGTCTTAACTTCCATTAGCCTCATGGGTAAAGCAGAGGTAATAGCCCTTATTCATAGGGCGGTTTTAAGAATGAAGTGATAAGCACCACACCTAACTCTTGCGTTCAGTGGTATCTGCTCACACATAACGGCTGGTCCTGCTGTTCTGCAGGCAGCTTGCACGAATTTATTCCCCCTGTGAGCCCGTCATGGGCCTGGCCGTCGGGAGGGTACTGGCACGAAGAGCTCTCTTCTCCTCTATCCTCCACGCCAAACGCACACTCCCAACCTCTGAGTTTCTTCCTTTTGCTAATTGCCTCTTCCTGTGCTGTGACAGCGTGTCTCTCTCTTGTAAGTAGTTGATGAATCAATCAAAGATGCTTTTGTCACGCAGCGATGGGGGCTGCTGCAGTGTCTGATGGAATACGACCCCGCCGGCTCCCTCTGGACTGGCTGTGGGGTTGGATGGTCCCGGGGCCCGGCCCACAGGTGCCCAGACCCCAGCCTCCCCAGGGTAAGCACCTAGCAAGCCGGGTAAGTTGTCTGCCCAGCCCAGTTCTAGTTTCTAAGGAAACGGTTGTGAGGGCCCCTATCTCAGAGATCTGGCCCCCACATTCACAGCATTGCTCTCCCTCCCCCACCTGGGTTTAGTGGGGTTGCAAAAGCCCTGTCCTCTAAGAGCAGGTCTGTTTCTCTGACTCAGTATCCAATAGCTGCGTGCTAAGTGATCGCTCTGCAGAATCACTCTGATTTAGGACCTCCCTGGTGGCAAAAGGGTGAAGTCTCAGCACTGTATCAGCAGCCTCTGCAGCATGAGTTCAGTCCTGGCCAGGGAGCTACCCACATGGCGCAGCAGACCTCTCCTGTCTCCCCGCTGCTCCCCTCAGCAGTGTATTTCAATGGATCTACCTCTTCTGCTGCCCACTCTGTCTCTGGTGAATCCTCTCACCCCCCACACACACTTCTGGCCTGCACCCCAGCTCTTGTATGCATAAATAAATAAAATAAATCTTAAAAAAAAACACTCTGATTTGATGTGGGATTCCCAATATCCACCTGCAGTCTGCTCCATACATTCCTCAGCAGCACGGTGGGTTTCTACGCGTGCGTTTGCAGCCCAGCTCCACATCACACCAGCCTGCACCCCGGACAGGTGACTCGCTTTCCTTATCTCAGTATTCTCATCTACACAGTAAAAAGAAATTAAAGTAGGACCCTCGCAAGGTGACTGGGAGGAGTAACAGCAAGTTCCCTAACACCGGACCTGGCTGTGGTAAGCACTGAATAAAAACTAAGCATTGCTGTGACTTCCCCACCCCCCCACCCCGCACCCCAGTTTACTGCAGGCCAGTATCGAGCAGAGAACCTAAGAGAGATTTAGAAAAAAAAGCACTCCATTTCTTTTTTTCTTTGTTTTCTGGCACCTGGCATGTTCGTCCTTTTTCTAAATCAGCAGCTAAAACTTCATTTCTGGTGACTTCACTGTCCATGGCCAACGCCCGTCACGCGGGTCTCCCCCTGGAATCCTTGGCCGCCCCTGGAAGCCGTGGAGCTTGTCAGCTCCTGTGACCGGCCAGCTCTCGCCTCTCCTGCTCTGTCCAGTGTTACGTGAGCCGGTGCGGGAGGGGTCAGCTCACCCACACCCGGATCATCTCATCCTAGATGGGGAGTATCGGGGTGTCCCTTCTGCACCCACAAGCACAGTCAGCAGCTCTTGTGTCACCCCAGCCCATCCGCTGCTCTCACGCTTTCCTTAACCCTCTCCCCTCCAAGCGCCCGGGGAAGACTGAATTCCGGCTGCCCCGGCTACTTTTTCTTCTTGAAAACTTGATTTCAAGTTTCTGATGAAAACCTGCCACAGTGCCTCTTCCATTGTCTCCTCTTTCAATCTCTGCATTTTAAGGTGTTTGGGGTTTCAGGCTTTAACAAAATTTCATCAAGTATTTAAATCAATCTCTCTCCGCTTTATTGATAGACACTCAAGCCTGCTGATTAACTTTTCAATCAAAGCTGCCTGCCACGCTACACGGGTGCAGAACAGTGATGTTGCAACTTTGGCAGCAGATAAAGCGGTCACTCAGCTACTTGCTCGGGGCTCCTCACCCGCCCCCGCGAAGAGGATAAAACCTGAGGGTTGACCTCAACCTCCTTGCTCAAAATGCCTGGTGACCAAAAAAAAAAAATGCTTTTACTGAACTGAAGTTTCCTGCCTGTATTCTGGTTCACCGAAAGTTCTGGAGCACACCCACTGCGTGCAGGGTTGGAGTCAGAAGCTGCACATGAGAAAGGAGGCGAAAAAAACCCACAAGTGCATTTTTTCCGTCTTTTTCTCGCCTGCTCCTGAAATGCTTGCGGCTGGATTAGCACAGCCTGTAATGGAATCACAATCCCTTCCTGGGAGAGGGAGAGAGAGAATCTGTTTCCTGTCCCTGACATCACTCACCATGCTGACTCCGAAATGCTGAGATGAAAATGAAGGAAAATAGCAGTGATGACGATGCTGGTGATGACGATGCTGGTGATGACAGTGACGATGCTGACGATGACATCTGTCCAGCGGTTACCACGGGCCTGGGCCTGTGCTTCATCCCTGACTTCACAGCCCTTGCACAATCGTCTATGTCGTAAGGCATCTTATAGTCCCTCCCTCGTATAGCTGGGCACATGGAACGTAGAGATGTAGGTCACAGGGTCACACAAGAGGGTGTCACTGGCATCCTGACCCGGGAGGTCCCCCTCCTCAACAGCAACCCGCGGGGTCTGTCTTGTCATCTGGAGTCGACGGAGACCTCATGGAGGGCAGTGCCTTTGTCTCCTTTATACTTAGAAGCCTGGCACTCTTGAAAATGCTCACAGCGGTGGTTCTTTCAACAAAGGCCAGACCAGTTCTAGATCCCGGGGTACAGAAGGCAGTGAGGGCCCCAGCGTCAGGCCTCACGGGACTTCTGCTGCGGTGGGACTCTGCTTTCACCCGGGGTTTGTAGCGACAAACCTGTTGTTCACAGTGGATCTTCTTGTTAGGAGCAGAAGCCGGGTCCTCCCGTGCAGTCTTGGGGGTCAGAAAGGGAGGCTTGGTCACAGCCTATGAGCCGTTGCTGTGCATGTGACCAGATGTATTTTCTTCCAGAACCTACGACATGAAGGTAAACTACTCACTTTAGGGGACGGTAGAGAGAGAAGCCCCCGGCAGAGACACCACAGCAGAAGGGCTGGTGCGGGGACTCTCCCGTCTAGAAGTCCGTCCCTCCCATCAACATCGAAATTGTCTCTCTTGATTGTAAACGTCCGAAAGGTAAGATTGAGAACATTTGTGGTTAAACAAATGGGCCAGAATGATGTTAGTTCCCTGCCCCCCCAGCAGACAGCAACTTTCTACAGCCAGCATCCATGATCCCTTTGGGACTTGGGGTCACCTACTGACCCGCTCTGGGACTCAGTGTTTCCAGCAGTAAAAGGGGAGCATTACTCCACATTCTTCCACTGAGCAGCCGTGTGACCTTAGGGTCTCCTGCCACATGTTAGGTTCCATGTGCTTCGTCAATGGCTCCTAAGCTGGTTTCACCCACTTAACACTTACTTAATTGTTTAATCTAGTTGGGACGTGGGGGAAGCCACAGGCAAAGAGCTGGCCATGAAGGGTTCTCCACTGGGAAGGCAGAATCCAGGACAAACCCTTCAGGCCTAAGGAGAGCATGACACATGGCCTCGAAAGGCACCCCGAGGATCTTGCCAAACCGCATCGTGTTACCCGCCCACTTCAGGGCCAGGAACCTTTGTGAAAGGTAAGGAAGAGCTTCTGATGGCGACCGCCAAGTTCTCTTGGACTCAGGTTTCAATCTTCACACTGATTTCTATTCTCATTATTTAATTTCCTTCTCATCAGACAGAATTAAATAGCAAATGCCATTCCCAGGTCTTCTAAAGTCCAATCACCCCAATGCTTTGTTTCCAACTTATATAAAAGTTTAAATTTCCTCTTCCCCTGCTCAAATTTCTGCCAAAACAGTCATCAGCAATGAAATTTTTGCAGATAATTAGCATATCAGATATCTGTAATAAGCTAATAATGTATTTCTTGGATTGTGCTTCTCTGGTTAGCTGTTATTAATCACAAATATTATTCGTGTCATTTGAAATATTCCTGTTGGCGGATGTTTTTATGCTTGAAGGATTCCAGCTAAAAGTCTTCAGCTACAGACGTGGGGGACCCTCCTCCCCCCCCAGGAGAGGCAAGATTGGATCGTGTCTTGTTGAACAGGGTTAACCTTCAGGGGAAACAGCATTAAGGGAAGTAATTATCCATTCACACTGAACTGGCTACAAAGAAAGTGAGAAAATCACCTTCTCAGAACTCACATGAAAAACATAATGTAGTTAATATTAAATAAAGGGATTGGGCAACCCAGCCTTTTTTACAGTGTGTTCTGATGTGTCCTTGATCAGGGGCTGTTTTGTTTATGATTAATGAATGACTCACCTTGGGCTGTGTTCCGTTCAATGCATACCTCATTATGAATTTGAAGAGGTCATTTGTTCCTTGGATTTAAAATAAAAACCTCTTTGTACATTCAGCAGGGTAAGAGCTGGGTTTTGGTGCAAAGTTAGGGCACGAGGAACACAAGACACTGGCTTGGGCTCCTCGGTGGTTGTTTCTTCCCCTTTTTAACTTTCGACATTTGGAGAGAAATTCTAAGCCTGGACTCTGATTTTAAAGTGGATCCTAAAATGAGGTGGCGCAGGCCCAACCGTCTGTGGCAGCAGCATCGCGCTGTGGGTGCCAGTGAATCAAAGGCCTCCAGGGGGGCAGGGGCAGCCTGGCAGGGCCACTCCGTGCTCCAGAGGTGGCTGGTGGCGGGCAATTCACCTGGCACAACAGCAAATGGAAAGGAGGCGCAGTCTGAGCCCAGCGCGCTCACAGGCGCAGTTCCTGGCTTTTCCCACAGTGCACCGGGGTCTCTTTGAGCAGCTCTTTTTCCTCTTTGAACTTGTATGTAATAGTCATTCTTCATTTAATTTTACTCCTATTTAAATATCAGAAAGTGCAGTCAGCGGCAATGTGATGTGCCAGAACCCACAGAGAACAAATTTGATGCAGAAGATCACTACTGGGCAGGCAAAAAGATGAACCCCAAATCTATGCCTGTTTGTTTTTGCAAGAGGCCTGATAAATAAAATCCTCTGATGAGGCCATAAGGGTGACTCTCTTTATCATTACGCACACACGCCTTTATCGGGAGAAGGTCCAGAGGCAGAGAGCAACTGCTGCGCGGGTCGGGATTTGTTCTTTCTCAGTGCGCCAAGAGGGGGATTTGTGCACTGGGAGCTGGGCATCGAGCACATGCATGTGCCAGCATTTCCAGCGTGCACACCCAGACGTGTGGTTTACTGCCCTTGAGCCCCACCACAGCTCAGTTAATGATCTTTGCACAGAGTGTGTGTGTTCACTTGTGCATTCAAATGAGGGCTTGTCACGCAGAAATAAAAGCCTGGGCACGAACAGACCTTAGCGGTTGACGACGGTACCTGCTGCATAGCTCACTAGTCACCTAACCAACTTTTTTTTTTTTTTAAGTCAAGTTATTTCTTTATGTGTGAGAGAAACTATGTCCTTTGATCACAGCCATTAAGATGGGATTAAATAACAGCAAACATAAGGGAACCGAGCATGGCTCCTGGCTCAGTTATTAAAGCTGTGTGACCTTGGCCAGGCCATTGCCCCGTCCTGCAGGGCCATTGCTGTGAAAATCCAGCTGGATGAGCTCGGGCTTTGGACTAGGCAAACAATGGGATGTCGTGGGTAAATTGTCCCTTACCATCAATGCTGTATTATTTTCTTTTCCTAGAAATGATCCTGATGGTGTTTTAGGATCCTGTTCCGGAAACAAATAGACAGACAGGGAAGGTGAATGAGAAACACCTCTGCTTGCAGGATCCCTTGGTGAAGTTCAGTCTTGCTGTTTCCCAGATTAACTCAGGTCAGAATCGTGTCCTTCTCCAGAGACTCCGCTTGCTCCTGGACATGCGAAAACCTACCAGGCACTAACTAGATCCAGGTTTTGTGGATCCTTCTCTTCCTCGTGGCTGAGATGCACACACGGGCCACTTATGTGGCAAACAAACAAATACACAATTTTTACAACTAGAAATTGAAGCCTCTTAGCTTCTGACTTCAGTAGTGACAGGTTGACAGGAATGGAATTCTTGCTAAGGAAAACCCCAAGCACGATTTCTTGGAAGTTATTTTAATACAGTTCAGCAAGTTTCAAAACAAGGTGAACCACCAAGAAATTTAACACAATTCCATAGGAATGTTTCCCCAAATTGCCAGAAAGCATTTTTAAAAGGCACAGAATTCAAACCGTACTTAGTTTTTAATGCATTGCAAATGGGACAAAGTTTTGTTTTGTTTTGATTTTTGATGAGCATTTTAAAAAAAACTCCCACTAATCTGAGAAAATGGAGGCACCAGAAGGTGGCTGATAAACCAGTTTTATTTTATTTCACACGGGTTGCTGTGATCTCTGTGATTTGTTTGAAGGTCAGTCAAGACCTCTTGAAAATACTGACAAACAAACAAACAAAAATCCTCTGATTTGTAAGATCAGGACTTGGTTGTGAGTTCATCTCCCCTTCAGCATCAGGAGGCAGGGCTGACCTCCAAAGCTCCACCCACTGGCTCTTTATGGCCTCTCGTTGGCCAGAACTTCCTCCCACCCCCAAGGACCTCAAGGACCTCCCTGGGAAGTTCTGGAGAAGAAGCGGTCCAACAGGAAGTGGCTCCACTATCTCTATCTGACAGTTTGCCACGGTTGCCCAGTGTTACGCTGCTAATGTGTGTCCGTCAGCTCTCAAAGGACTCTTCGGGCAGTCCCAATTTTTATTAAAGCCAGTAAGTTACCTAATATGCTTATTTCTTAGGAATCCCAATCTGGAAGGGACCTGTTACACTGGGGCTTACAAGGGAGACAGGGACTAGCTGTGCCCCCGAGGCCTTCATTCTCTTCGGTCTGAGTGCTTGGTGAACACTCAGCAGGTGCAATTGCTGGCAATGTGGTGAACAAGTCAGAGCCACCCCCTCTTCAGGGGAACCCTAATCCAACCAGAGAGCAGGCAATCACCAACCAGTGAACACGTCACATTCAGAGTCACCATGCAATAAAGTAGCCATGGAGAAGTCTAGAAGGTGAGTGGACATTCCCAGAGGACTTCGCAGTCAAACTAGATGGAGCAAGATACATTTGAAAAGAGGAAAGAGAAAGAGACTTGAGTTTGAGGGAAGAGCAGATGCAAAGGTCCTGAGGTAGAAACAAGTATGGTGTTTTGAAGGAACTTGGAGATGTTCCACAGGACTGGAGCAAAGAGAAAGGAAGGAGCAGCTCTTGGGAACACATTGGGGGGCAGGCAGACCGAGAGCACGCTTAGCCTGTGAGCAATATTACGAATTTGGGTCCTTGTGCTCATGCAGAGATGTTGAGTTGTTAAGAAGATGTGCGGCATGGCCCCAGAGTGTTCTAACACTGTCTACACTGTGGACAGTGCATCAAAGAGATAACAGTGGGTTTGGGAAGAAGTTAATTAAATAGGACGGGCACAACACATGGGGTTTACAAGATGTTTCTGTAAACTGAGCTTAGTTACGTGCCCTGGAGCCACGTGGGGATCCACAGAGGAGGCCCAAAGCCACACTCCGAGCCACCAGGGAACGTGGAACATGAACTGAAAGGACATTTTCTGTGGTACAATAGTTGACAGTTGATGCTTTCAAACTTTCCCATTTGCCCTCCCCCCCAAACCCTTTTCATAACAGCTGCATAATTCTGCAATATGTTCAAGCAAAAATCTACTTGCTGTTTGTGTGGCAGAGTTCAAAACCTGTATTGGGTCATCACTTTTTAAAAATGTATGACCAAGAACACTTAGCAAATTCCAGAAACCTTTGAACTTCAGTTTGTTGAATATTGTAGTTTATGTTTTCTCGAATTTGTCCCGAACCATTTGTACCTTGGATTATTAATCTATAACCAAACACTGTTCTGACTGGGCAAGCGCCCCCCACCCCCCAACATCTGATGATACCAGAACATGACCAAAGCTATTATTTTTCCTTTGAGTTCTGTCAATACATTTATCTCAAATTTTTATTCTGACTTCTTCCCCCCTTTGTGTTTCCTAGAAAAAAACACTTACTAGATAAGATCAGAACTGCTTTGTCATTCATCAGCAATAATCAAATCTGACTCAAGAGCAGAGTTCAGAAACTTTTTTTTTTCTCGCATTTAGAGGTCAAAAAAAGCCAAAACTCCCCAAATTGCTGGGCAAGCTCTCTGCCTTCACATCCATGTGTGTGAATGTATCCTGGTGTCAGGCTGCCCCGGCAGGGAATTTACATTGTAAATCAATAGACATTGGTGGAGACTCAGCTATGGACAAGCTACCAGCATACAGGTTGAGGGACTCTGGCAGATCAGCTGCTAGGAGGTCAAGGCCAAGTGTCTGCAGAGCAGGGCAACACCCTTGGGCCTGGCTCCCAGAGAACACCGTGTCACCCATTAGCAACTCTGTGCACCTGTCCCTCCATTTCATTATCTGTCCAACTTGGACAACAAATACCTCCTAAGGGCTCATCCTGTGAGTGGTCAA